ACCATAAAGCACAAATAACAAGGCAACAACCCAAGAGTCCAACACAATTAAGCAGTAAGTAAGAAAAGTTCTTAAAAATGATCAATCACTTATTTAATCTTGTATTAGATGTTCATTACCATCATCACCTTCTTCTTCAGAATCAATTGAGATGGTTGAACGTTGAGCTCCTGAATCTTTCTCTATAAAATAATTTAAGAGAAATGATATTCATTAATATTTAAACAACATGAAATAATATAAATTAAGAATGTTAATGAAATTACCGACAATAAGATTGTCATATTCATCAAAATTATCAACATCAAGCTCTTTCAATTTAAAAGTAGACTGGGAATGCCAACTTTGGGCACAAATGAATGCCTCAACCATTTTTGCAGATAGGGAGCTTCTAAAAGTATCTAGTACTCGACCTCTTATATTAAAGGCAAGTTTTTAAGACACTGTAAAGATAGGTGAAGCCAAAAATTCATGAGCAATCAAATTCAGGACTTTATACTTGAAAGTATCTCCAAGGCAAAACATCCAATTTTGGATCATGAGAAGCAACTAACTTAGCCTTAAGATATTCATCTACCTCTAAATTTTTTTACCCTTAACATTTAATGCTTGCAATTGTATAAAATTGCTGCATTATTTCATCATCTATGACAGCCAGGGCATCATCATCGAGAATTGACTCTTGATCCCCAACATTGCCATCTCTTTGTTTCATTTATGTTTGAGTTTGAGAAGGTTCACCATCAAAGAAATCCTTCAAATATTCATATATAAGCTATGCAAGATATCTATAATATTCTTTATAACCAGCTCATATTGTAGAGGATCAAAATACATGTTTTCAAAAGCAACCTGGACATGTTTGAATTTGTATCTATGGTTTAATATCACTACTACTACCAACAATGAATTCATGTCATTTGCCTTACCCAATACTTATCCACCTTACTTTGCATTCTTCTCACTGTGTCGCTCAATAGAGCATTGAAATTAGTTACACTTGCCTTAAGCTTGATTTGCATTATAACTATTTGCTAAAAATATGTATTTGATGTCGCAAAATTTGATGCCAAAAATTTCAATATCGTGGAGTAGAATAATTTCAAGAAGACAATAAAATCCTTTGCACTGCCCCAATTATATAAATTGGGAGGTTCATCTTTAACTTTCTTTTTGAAGTACCTATAGTAATGTTCATCTTCTTCCTCTATCCTATCAAAGACCTTGATGAACTTCACAGCATTTTCCAACATAAGGTATGTTGAATTCCACCTAATAACATAAAGCAAGCTTGATTAATATTAGGAAAATAAACATTAATTTACAATTCATAGCAATAATTAAAATTACTTAGTGGGACAATGCATGCTAAGTAAGCTTTTTGAATCAATTCTTTGCTTTTCTATGAACTCCTTAAATCGATGTATCCTTGCTGTAGAAGATCTAACAAATTTAATCTCATGCTAAGTGAGTTCAACAGACTTATTCATGTCCTTTGTTCCTTTAAAAACAATCAAATTTAAAATATGAGCAGTAACCACATATGCATATACTCTCCATCACACACAAGACTATTCCATTCCTTCAAGCATTTTTTTTAAGTGAAGGAATTTCATTGATTGAAAATAACTGAACACAAGTCAACTAGGATAAAGTGAAGTTACATCCAGCATTTGTAAGTAGATAAAGTTTTAAGGCCTATTTGGATTTCAGTTGGATATAATTAATTTTAATTATAATTGAACGCAATCTATTTGAATATTATTTTTTTAAAATTAATTTTAATATAATTGAAGATATTTTAATAATTTAATTAGAATTAATTTTAGCCGTGCAAATTATCACAAAGACATTACTTTTCAAAATTAAATTATTGATAAAGTTGATTATAATATTATTAAATTTGGTAGACTTTATTTAAGAAGTAAAATATATAATTTAACTTATATATTTGATTAATTATAGAAATTTAAATTATATTAATATTAACAATTTAATTTATATATTGTTTAACTTATACTCCCTTTGTTCAAAAAATGTAAGGTATTTTTTAAGGAGTTAGATATTCAAAAATATAAGATATTTTTAATCTTTTGAGATGTAATCATTGCCTTTTTTTTCAAAAATTCCCCTGTTGATAATTATTTATTATAGGGTGTTTAATAGGAATAAATATAGAAAGATATGATTAATTGAAAAATAGGTAACTACATTATTAAAAGGTGGATTCCGTTAAAAATGCCTTACATTTTTGAACGGATAAAGTAGATTTGAAAAATATTATTGTCAAATCGACCATTAAATCGTGTTCTTCAATTGCCACCATTCTTCACGAGAAGAGAAGGAACTATCGCATGATGCTTCGAACTTGTAGATGGAGATAGAGACGATTAGATCTGCAGCTAAGCTTCCCTAATATGAGGGCCATCGAAGCTCCTCCAATGTGACAGAGGGGGACAATAGAGATGACAAATCTATGAAGGTTGATAAGGAGATGAAGAGGACAATAGATAAAGACCAGATTGAAGATAAGGCAAGCAGACTGAGGCAACACAGACCTTTTCAATGATGGCTGGAGCTTGCTGCCACTACACGTAGCTTAGAGTTAGCAAACGGCAACCAGGTCAATAGTAGAAGGATGCATAGGAGAAGAAACAGCTCACACTAGAGAGAGCACATGGGAGATTGTTGCCTCTAGTGTGGGTTGGAGAAGGCGAATAGTTCCAAGCTTAGGGTGGGAGGATGATGACATAAGAAGAAGGCACAAGATAGGAGAGACGAGAGATTGAAAATAAGAGATTATGCACAGGATACCCAAGGTAACATTGGTATGTAAGAGTTATGACAAATAATTATTATTCTAATGGTAAAATTGGTTAAGAGAAGCTAGCAAGGAGAGCTTATCACAAAATATGATTTAGCCTAGATAATCGATTAATTAAAAATTGTGATGTTTAGGAAATTTTCTCCCAAACCATGGTTTTGCTCCCAAAAATTTGATTATTTGGGCAGACCAAATAGGCACTTAATTGTGTAATTAACTATGACTCTAATCAAGACAAGAAAATCCACAACTATAGTTGCTGCACCAATAAAGATCTGTTGATTTTTTGACTTCCCAAAGCTTCTAGACAGTAATGCAAAATCCAATCTTTCAGGAGATATACAACCTTTTGGATTTTAAATAGTTGATTAGCAATACCTCAACGATCGCCTTTGAAAATTCTGCATATATATCAGATGGCAATATCTTCTTCCATACTTTGGCAACAAAGATGCATTCTTTCAAGATGTGATTGATGTTTTTCTCAAGCATTTTTTTTAAATATGCAATTGGAGTGTCATTGAAAAAGCACTGTCAAAATATATGTGAATAAAAAGAGTTATGTGAACAGTAAAAAATGAGTGGAAAAAAAGAGAATTCCAACAATTTTAGGGAAAATATGGAGAGAGGTCATTTTTGTCCTTTTTTTCAAAAAATATTTCACAAGCATCTTTGTTTGAACTTTTTTTTAAAAAAAATGATCATGGTCTTTTAAAATAATTTTAGGATTTGGATGTCAATCAACAATTAAAACTCTCTAAAAACAATTACTTACTATAATTCTTCCATAATTATAAGCACTATGCTTTCATTAGGAAATACCATTTTGCCTGTAGAAGGAAGGTGAACCAAATGCAGTTTTCCACTCTTTTGCTAAGAAGATGCATGATCTAGACTGTCCAAATTTGACAGGGACAATCTAGATTTAATGAACTTTTATTATTTTATATTTTTTAAAATAAAAAATGTGTAAATTGTAAATTTTTTTATAAATCTATTCATTACTTTGAACAGTATAAATTTAATATGAATGGTTTATATTTAACATCAAAGTTTTTATAAATTGATTATTCAAATATATTTTGGGAAGTATAAGTTTAATATTAATTTTTTATAAATTTTATAAACTCTTAATATGAAATTTAGATTATCATATTAAATATGAATTGTCTGAACTAACAAAAAAATTTATTAAAATTTTTTATAATTGATATGAATTTTGGACCATCCAAATTCAATTTAAATAATTCAAATCATGCATCTTCTCAGCAGAGGTGTGAAGGAGGCTTCCCTCCAAGGAGAGAAACCAACTTCGAGCCAAATCCCACAACCCACATATGATGTCCTTTTTATTGGATAAGTAATACTCCATTTGTCTTAAATTATAAGATATTTTTAGATAAAATTTTACATACTAATAAACTTCATTAAGTGTATTTAACAACCTTATCTTTCCAAAATAAAATATAAATTTTCTAAAACACCTATCATTTAATATATTGAAAAGAGAAGAGACTGAAATTAATTATAGGAAAAGAAAGGGTGATATTAAAATTGATGCATTTAATGAAACCTTAATCTATTTAAAGTGTCTTATATTTTGAGATAGAAAAACTCTTTTAAAAGTGCCTTATAAATTAAAATGAAGAAGTAATTTGAACTAATTTTTTAGAATGAAAGTGAACGAAATTTCTGACTTTTTATTGCTCATTTACTTTACATGGAACTTAAAATTATTAGTGTTTTATCATCTTTTGTATTTTTAAAATTAAAAACTTCACCTCCATTTCCAAGTTTTGAATTATTTATATACATCAAAATATTTAAATATAATAAGAGTTTCTGTTTGTTTACAGCCGATAGTTTCTTCCAAAAAGAAAATTGCCAATAGTTTGTGATTTTCTTTGGAGGTACAACAACTTTTGGGCTTAATAATGGCTTCGGTTGCCAAGGTCTAGCCATAGAACAAGATGAATTATTTGGGCTTCAAAAACTTGAGCCCAACCCGGCCCCTCTTGAACGAAACTGGGCTTTCCTCTTTTATAATGAATCGCCTTCTTCTCCGGCCTCCACTAGTTCCTGGAGTTTTCGAGTTCGTTGCTTCCTTCGGCACGCTCTCTCTCTTTCCCCGCTTATTTCATCTTTTCGTTGTTTCGTTTGCTTGTTCTTATATTTCTTGGATTTTGACTTTAGAAGTAGCTTTATTGCCAGAATTTCTCATGTTCTTCCGGGGATTCTCCGTTTGGGGAATGTATCTGGGTAATACAATCTCATAAAAGATGCAGAACGAGGAGGGACAGATCACTGAGCTTTACATTCCAAGAAAATGGTATGCATCTAAATTTGCTCAAGTTTTTTGTCTTTCGTGGCTTCACTGTTCTTGTTGGAGTTTGAACTAATGTATGCTGCATGATGCAGCTCCGCAACAAACAGACTGATCACTGCTAAGGATCATGCCTCTGTTCAGATTAACATTGGCCGTTTGGATGAGAACGGTATCTATAATGGCCATTTTTCTACATTTGCCCTATGTGGTTTCATCCGTGCACAGGCCCGCTTGCCTTATTTGATCACTTATTTATTTATCTGTTTTTGTAGTGCAGCGTTCTATTCTATTACCATATTTTTGTGTCTGTCCTTGGCAAAAAGTAATGTTTTTCAAGAAATGGACTGTATTTTGAATTGAAGACATGGTGCTATCTGTGTCGCATTCCGCCTTTGTATTAAATTTCTGCTGCCTGTATATGAAAATATATTGGCATGTTGCTTTTCTTGTTGAAATTTTTTGTGTAGTATACCAAATGATCTATCAAAGAACTTGTTTTGGGTTCATTTCTGATTTTCTGTCTACTTGCCCACTTCTTGTTTTACATTTAGATTGTGGTATAAAAACTAGAATATAAATGAGAGATTTTTTGCCGAAGCTTGATATAATTCCTTTTCACATATGGAGTTGTTTTAGGTTGGGTAGGAAGGTTATGATGTCTCTTGTATATCTTAATGTTCTACCTTGGCAATATTACTCAAGGAATGCTATGCAGTAGAGATTCTTGTTTAACTTTTTTAGGTTATGATATAATTCCTCTTCACATATGGAGTTGTTTTTAGAAATTTTAACCAAATGAAGCTTTATTATATTTATTATTTTTTTTTATAAATTTGCCCAAGTTCTTTTATCTTTTTCAAGTTTAGTTATTTGTAAATCATTAATAAAAATAGATTACAATTAGCTAAATGTTTTCTATAGTAGTTTATGATAATCTTTTAATTTTATAATCAAGTATTTTAAATATAATAAATTAATTTTTAATGGTTAAATAATAAATATGCTAATTAATTATTAAAAAATTCTTTGTGCCCAAGAGATTTTTTTCATTACAAATAATAATTAAAATTAAAAATTATCAGTCAATATCAATATATATTGATAATTAAGAAAAATATCTCATAAAAAAATTCAAACTTAATCCAAATTTAAATCAAATTGAACCAAACCTATTAAAGGAAAAAATCAATTAGCTTGCAAATTATATGTAGTAAATTGATTGGTTGAGTTTGGTACCAAAAAACTACACCAAACAGAACCTCTAAACACCCTCGGACAGGTTGTTCTATTTTTCTTTCCATGAAGTCTATCACTGCTTAATTACTGTACTTTCCTCTGTCAACAACATTCCTCTCTCTCTCTCTCTCTCTCTATATATATATATATATGTATGTATTTATGTATGGATGTATGTATGTCTGTATTATAACTGATGATTCCGTGAGAAAACTTGAAGCAGCATCTACCTACCTTGCTCTTTCTGTTTTAAAAATTAAAATTGCGTTGGATTAAGCTTCGGAACTATAGGGCCCACGATTTACCTTAGTGTGCCACCTAAGATCACAAAAACAAAAGGATCTCGCCTTAATTAGCTTCTTAGAGTGTGTTTAATCAGCAATTATTCCGCCCATATGCATATCTTTTTAATTACGTTTATGCGTCTAATCATGCAATTAGAAACAATTGTGAGGCACAGTTAGACAATAAAAGTAATTGAACCCTCTCCCAACAAAAAATCATGTAGGCTTTATTTTATTATCATCGTCATCGTTGTTATTAATTCCTTGAACTTATTTTTATTTTCATGGTGACATATTTTTTATCTTTGACTCTTTGTTCTTTCTTCTATCCATTTATATTTTTTAAACAATATCTTTTTAATTTACTTATAATTTGCCTGTTAAAAATACTTGTGGCCTTAATGTGCTTGCTTCCTTTTTTTTTTTCTTTGCCCCATATCTTAAAACAAATTCTTTTTAGTTGAGTTTTAACTTTTGTCTCAGAAATGCTACATGACTATCCTAAAAAAGCGCAATAAATAATTCAAAATATCAAAATTTAACAAAGTCAAATAATACTTCTTAATAACATTAAACTATATTAATTTAGTTATCTCTTGTTTATCATTTAACGATCAATTTAGTTTTCATAACATTAATTATAACAAAAAATATTTATTTTATTATTAAGTACTGTTAATAATGTAGTATTGTTTATTTTTCTATTTTTTAATTTTAATATTTACTTTTATATATTTTTATTTATGAAATAAATCAAAATACATGTCATGCAACTTAACTAGTAATGTAAGATCATATCATGACCCAAACCTTTGTCGGCCACTATACATCCAAAAGTTTTATTCATTAAATACATGCAAACATATTTAATCTTGTCAGAATTACTTTTGAAGCAACAATATCCAAATATAATTTATCTTACAGCAAAATTAATTTGCAATGAAATGAAATTTGTAAAATCAATTGTACCCTTAAATAATTTTGTAAGCTCTAATCCAAAAGCACGGGAAGGGATCTGCCTGATTCCACGGAAAAATATGGGTGATGACTTGACTTATGACTTTCTCTTTTTCTTTTTAATATAAGAAAAATTATCATATATCATTTTGTTTTTATTTATAAACAAAACTATAAATTTTAAAAAATATTTATTATATTTCTTTAAATTGTATCTCATAAAGTCAATATTTATTTTTATTAGTTACAGGAATAATTTAGCCCAAAATTTCAATTTTAGACATATTTATTTTATCTAATTAACTTTCTTAAATTATATAAATTAAGTATTTTCTCCTATATTTAAAAGTAGAGGGAGTATGAGTTAATGAGGAAAAACGGGAGCACATACGGGGAAATAGTAGTAGTTACAAATTCCAATGCCTCCACCAATGTACTTTTTGCTTTTTAGTGAACTTCTTCTATTTCTTTATATTTAAGAAAAAAAAAAAAAACTGTCACTTATTGTTTTGTTTCATGTATCTCACTTATTGCTTTGTTTTTCCTTATAAGTGAAAAAAGCTGTCACTTGGAGGATGGAGGCGTGTTCCAAATGAACCAAGCACAAGAATGGAATCCTTGTTCCCTCTTGACTGGCCCAGAATCCGGCAACCAACTGAGGTCTTTGTTTCCTTAGCTACTCTTCTACAAGTTCAGTTAGTGGAGTTTGTTGCTGAACGTGTTTTACAAAAGATACTACCGAGTAATCTCAAGAAGTGATGCAAAATTCAGCAAGAAGGTTGGATGAAGTTGAAGGACAATATCCGTACTTCTCCAGGTCAGAAGGGGAATAAAAGCCAGCAAGAGTGAACTGTAGCAAAAGTTGATGCTTCATGCTGACTGCTAAAGCAACATAGAATGAATCTCAACGATGCATCTGCCACCCATTCCTAGAGCAGCTTCCATTGTCATCACCATCATCAAACCCTTCCTACCAACTTACCATTCTTGCCTTCTTAGGTCGTTGCCATTTTCGTCATGTTCTTCATCCTCTTCGACATGGTTTTCTGTTCTTCGCAGTGCCATTGCCACCTCCAACTTGCTACTCGGAAAGTGTGCACATGCGCGTATACTCAAATCAAAACAATGCCTGGATCGTTTTTTAATCAACAATCTCATCACCACGTACAACAAATGTGGGTCACTTCTGTTAGCACGTCGGCTGTTTGATATATCGCCTGAAAGAGACCTTGTTACCTGGAATGCCATTCTCGCTGCATATGCGGATGCTGGACATGCCGAGCCTGAGAATATCCAAGCGGGGTTTTACCTTTTCCGCCTTCTCCGTAAATCTGTTGTCTCAACTAGTCGTCATACTCTGGCCCCTGTGTTTAAGATGTGTCTGCTCTCAGGTTATTCCTGGGCTTCAGAGGCTGTGCATGGGTATGCCATCAAGATTGGACTACAGTGGGATGTGTTTGTTGCCGGGGCCCTGGTTAATATATACTCTAAATTTAAACAAATCAGAGAGGCCCGTATGTTGTTTGATGGAATGCCTTTACGGGATGTTGTGTTGTGGAACGTCATGCTGAAGGCGTATGTGGAAATGGGTCTTGTGGATGAGGCGCTGCTTCTCTTCTCAGAGTTCCATAGAAGTGGGTTGCGTCCTGATGTTATCAGTGTCCGTACTCTTATTATGGGCATAAGACAAACCAAATTTGAAAAGCAGTTAAGTCAGCTTCAAGCTTATATGGCAAAGTTGTTTCTTTGCGATGATGATTCTGATGTTATTGTGTGGAACAAGGCATTGTCCGACTATCACCAAGCAGGGGAAGTTTGGCCGGCTATTGATTGCTTTATAGATATGATCAGATCAAAAGTAGCGTATAATAGCTTGACATTTGTTGTGATTCTTTCTGTTGTTGCAAGCATAAATCATCTTGAATTGGGAAAACAGATTCATTGCATACTTGTAAAATCAGGTTTGGATCAAGTTGTATCTGTTGCCAATAGTCTTCTAAACATGTACATAAAAGCAGATTCTATTGACCTTGCAAAAAGATTGTTCAATCAACTGAAAGAAGTGGATCTAATATCATGGAACACTATGATATCAGGTTGTGCTGTGAGTGGTGTAGAGGAGGAGTCTGTACGTATGTTTATTGATTTATTATGCAGTGGTCTAACACCGGATCAGTTCACCATTGCAAGTGTTTTGAGGGCCTGCTCCTCTCTTAAAGAGGGGTTCTATCTTGGCAATCAGATTCACGTTCATTCAATTAAAACTGGTATTATCAGTGATTCCTTTGTTTCAACATCGCTAATTGATGTCTATTCTAAGAGCGGAATGATGGAGGAGGCTGAGTTACTTTTTGAAAACCAAGATGAGTTTGATTTAGCAACTTGGAATGCCATGATGTCTGGATACATAATGAGCAACAGCAATCACAAAGCTTTGAGGCTCTTCAGTCTACTTCATAATAGAGGAGAGAGGGTGGATGAAATTACTTTGGCAAATGTAGCCAAAGCCTCTGCTTGCTTGGTGGGGCTTGAAGAAGGAAAACAAATTCATGCTGTTGTTATAAAAAGGGGGTTCAATTTAGATTTGTATGTCATCAGTGGTATTCTAGGCATGTATCTAAAATGTGGAGATTTGGAATGTGCACAGGTAACTTTCAATGAGATTCCTATGCCTGATGATGTAGCATGGACTACTATGATTTCAGGATGTGTGGAAAATGGAGATGAGGAACATGCTACTTTCATATACCATCAGATGAGGCTTGCTGGGGTGCAGCCTGATGAGTATATGTTTGCCACCCTTATCAAAGCTAGTTCGCTTTTGACTGCATTGGAACAGGGGAAACAGATTCAAGCAAATGCTATAAAGTTGAGTTGTGCTTCCGATCCTTATGTCATGACTGCGCTTGTTGACATGTATGCCAAGTGTGGGAACATAGAAGATGCATATGGCTTATTTAAAAGAATGAAGATGAGAAGCATTGCCTTATGGAATGCAATGTTGGTAGGATTAGCTCAGCATGGAAAAGCTGAAGAGGCCCTCTACCTTTTCAAGGAAATGAAATCTAGGGGTGTCACGCCAGATAGAGTTACTTATATTGGAGTCCTTTCTTCTTGTAGTCATTCTGGTTTAATATCCGAAGCCTATGAAAATTTTTATTCCATGCAGAAAGATTATGGCATTAAGCCTGAGGTTGAACATTATTCTTGTCTTGTTGATGCCCTTAGTCGTGCAGGGCATATTCAAGAAGCTGAAAAGGTGATATTATCAATGCCCTTTAAAGCGTCTGCTTCAATGTATAGAACACTGCTTAATGCTTGTAGGCTGCAAGGAGACAAAGAGACAGGAAAACGTGTGGCTGAAAAGCTCTTTTCATTGGAGCCATCTGATTCAGCAGCTTATGTTCTTTTATCCAATATCTATGCATATGCTAATCAGTGGGACAACGTGACAAGTGCTAGAAATATGATGAAAAGGATCAATGTTAAGAAGGATCCAGGATTTAGTTGGGTAGATGTGAAGAACAAGGTGCATTTGTTTGTAGCTGGCGATAGATCACATGAAGAATCTGATTTGATATATGATATGGTGGAATATATGATAAAGAAGATCAGAGAAGGAGGATATGTTCCTGATATAGACTTTGTACTTGTTGATATAGAAGAAGAGGAAAAAGAACGTGCTCTATATTATCATAGTGAGAAGCTAGCAATTGCTTATTGTCTCATAAGCACTCCGCCATTAACCACCATAAGGGTAATTAAAAACCTTAGGGTGTGTGGAGATTGCCATAATGCAATTAAATATGTGTCAAAAGTTTTTCAGCGAGAGATAGTTGTGAGAGATGCAAATCGATTTCATCATTTCGGAAGTGGGGTCTGCTCTTGTGGTGATTACTGGTGATGATGTAGTCTATCTTCGTACTAATTTTGTAAACTCCTTCTTGACAACTTGCATGGTTATGAATTCTGTTTCTTTCTCTTTTGAGACAGGTAACATTTCCTCCTCTTATATTCTGATTGAATCATAATTCATAAGTCTCATGCCAAAATTGAGTTACTAATTTCAATTGTGAGTGGTTTAACTGATTTAAAGGTCTTTGCGGAGTTATTGAATTTTTTGTTTCGAAGTAAAATTTTGGTCTTTCGATTTTGATTTCAATTATAGAATTTTTATGGTTGAGAGTATTTGCAGTACAATATTGATTTCAATTCTAAGAATGAAGTTGTCTGGGGCTTTAGATTTGTTCTGCTCTCTATTCTTACTTTGCATCATGGTTACGGGAATCCTGTTTATTTCTTATTTTGCAGCTCGTCTTCTTGAGAAATTTCAGCATGCACTCAGTTATTTGACATCCCTCCACGAATGTGTGTAGTAATTTTAAGATTGTTTCTTCCCAGAAGTTTTTAATTTCAAAGGGATGATCATAAGCCAAAGCTGATCTTTGATTCTGGACCATGAGTTGCTTATAAATAATGATTGGAAATCGATTGATTATTCTAAATTTCAAATTATCACCGTTTTGGATTTTTTTTTTCCAGCAATTATTGCCGTTTTGGATACATCACGGTCAATTGCTTCTATGAATGGTAGTTCTAAAGTTGTTATGTTGTTTTTCAGGAACACATGGTTATCTAATGAAGTACGCCCTCAGGTTCATGGTAGTCGAAGTGTGATTTATCCTGTTTCTTGTATGAAATTTGAGTTTTGGCTATACTAGGTGGTGGTGTTCTTTGCTTATATTTGCTTTTGAAAACAGAGAATAGACCTGTTCATTTGCAAATCTGTGCATAAAATAATATGAATTGAATTTGGAGGATGATGTTCTGAATAGAGTTGGGAATTGATAGTAGTTTTTCTTTTTGGGCCATGGGGAATTTTGATAATTTACTTGTTCACTTTGGATTAATTGGCAGCCATGCTCCTTCAGCTGAGTTTCACCTGTGGTTGCTTTATAGTGTTTGATATGAGTCCCTTACTAAAGGATTCATCAGGATGACATGGGTAAATCTTGATACAGGAGCCGAGTCATTGAATAATTAGAAACATGAAGTTTCTTCTATAAAACTATCTTTGATTATTATGTTTTCTTAGAAGAATGATCATAATCCAATTTGAATGGATGTTGTAGTCTGTATAAGGTTATTTTTTGGATTTTTGTATTGCCTTATTCTGAATCTAGAGATTCTTGCTAAGAAATGGGCAAAATTTTTTAAATAAAATTTGAAATTTGGAAGCAATAATAGAAGTATACACAGAACTGAAGTGTTTGATTTTTCAAATTAGCGCATTGATTAGTAAATTTTTTGGGATGCTGCTTTAGTAATGGGATTCTTTGCATCTTTAAAGAGTTTTGGTTCAAGGAGATTGAAATCCCTTGGATATTAATTTTATGAATATCAAATATAGTCATTATGACACTTGAATGGTGGACTTACAGAATTACCACTGACTATCATCTTATTTGGATGTGTGAGCAAAACCTGTCTTGCTAAGGATTACTGCAAGGAACACAAGGAATTCAAGGGAAACCAAGGCAAACAAGTGAATGCAATCGAGTCCATCTTTAGTCAATTTAACTCTTGTGGCTGTGCTTGAATAGATGTTACTTGACAGGTACAAACACATGCATCCATGTAGAATAGTGCATACCTTAGGTGAATGTATACTTAATGAGATCTCCTCTACATATGTATATCTATTCTTCATACATATAAGAAGCAGATCGTAATGGTTGAATGCGTGCTTACCTTTTACCCGTGAATTTTTTTTTGTTCAAGCTCAGGGAGCTTGTCATGCTGGAATCTGTATCCTCTCCTGCAAATCGACCATTTTGTAACGGATAAAACTGAACAAGAGAATAGGTGAGATTGACATGTTAGTAGATCTCATCCACTTTCTCTATCTTTCCCATAGGATGATCCATCTGTGAGGTAGTTATAGGCATGTTATTATGTTGGTGGTAGTCTCATTGCTTGATTCAAGGGATGAAGTTTCTTGGAACTGATGTAAATCCGTAATTTTATTGATTCATTGCAGATCTTGACATAAAACATATCTATTCAAATTATTGCTGTTTGTATGGATGATGGCAGAACATAGGAGATTGATTGTTTTAGTTCAGATATGAGAACCATAGACAATACATTTATCATATCAGTTTGAGTTTGTGTTTCGTCTGCCCCTTTCATAATCTCTCCTTTTTGTTTTTAGAATTAGATTTACTTTGAAAAATAAAAACCAGTTGATGGGTCGACAATATAGATAGCTCGAGTTATTGTTCCATGGTATTGTTGAAAAGATCATTGTTATATTCATGTTATGTCTACTATATCTGTAAAATCCATTTGGTGTTGGCCTGTTATGATGGTACACCTCTTGCTACTTGGTCTGCTCTGGACTTGATGTAGGTTTATGAGTTAATTTTTGTATGCTATCAGAATCAGATAATCCTGCATATGACTGAGAATCTCAGCCAGTATATTTGATTGGATCTTACATAAATGTATTTTTACAATATATTAAAAATTTAAATAACTGTTTTCAAAACAACGAAATTATAAAATAAATTAATATAAAGAATTAATTACAGGATAAAATTTATATACTTAACATATTTTTGTCAAATCAAATTAATAATAATATTAATAATAAAAATTCATTATAAAATAAATTTTTTATAAAAAATACACATGGCTAAATTAAATTAAAAACAAACATTTTAAATATATAAAACTAATTATACAAGTTTTTCCATAATTATAGTTACAATACTAGTAGTAGTTAAGTTTTAATTATATTCTTTTTTTCAGCCACGAATATAAACAGACGCGTCAAGAGACAAATGTACACGTGTGATGAGTGATGTTATTCGTACATCGTCGCTTTCATTATTGGAGAGAGAGAATTCCACCATCACCAGTAATGATTTGCTTTTTAAAAATAATAATAAAAAGCTGAATTACTCCTTCGGGTGTCATATATAAGGTAAGTTTGCGGAGATTTATTTAATTTTATTTATAAATTACAGTATAATTTTTTAGATAATATTTAAAATATATTTTTAAAATTATTTTTTATGAGAAAGAGAAAAAATATTATATGTTATATAGAGATATATTTAAAATTTAATATATTTTTATTTTTTTATATTTTTTATTAATATTAATAAAATTAATAAAAATAATTTATAAATAAAATAAAAGGAGTACAAGATATTGGCCTCACATTACGCCTTTTTTCCTGCCTGGTCCTCAATTTCAACGAAATAAAAAGAGGCTGTCCTTGACTTTTGAGGGAAGAAAACGTAACAGTGAAAAGCAGAACCAAAGAGCTACATTTTTATTTCCATTCCCACTTCCATCACCATCCAAAGCTCCACAAAAGCAACTCATCATTTCAGTTTTCACCCTCCATTCACTGCCCTTCCCAAAAACAAAAACAGATTTTTGAAACAAACATCAGACGTAACCCTCTCATAATTTTCCCAGAAGTCCACGAGATTTCCTGAACAAGAAATGCAAGAAAGAAGAAGAAGAAGAAGAACAAGAAGAAGCACCTCGAAGGCTAAAGCATCTACATCTGGAAGAAAATAATCAATGAAGAGATATGGAAAAAGAAATAGAAGTAACGCAACGCAGGCAAGCCATGAGATGTGATAATTGATGAGAAATGAGAATAATACAAACAATTTGGACATATAGCCACAATTCACTCAGAAAACAAGAATGTGTACCTAAATTACAATACATCCATCACCGGATTTTATTCAATCTCTCTACTGCCTTCCCCTTCTACTTGTGTATAGCAGACTTCTTCCCAATAAACTCATCATTTAAAAATTTTAAAATAATAATAAAAGTTAAATAAAAAGAAAATTTAGAAAGACAGATAAAGAATTTCAACCCCTGCATCGAGTGATGCGGCTGCATCCGCGGCGGTAAGGATTTGCCTGAGCACCGGGCCGGCAATTGTAGTAGGAAGCGCCGCGTCGAGAGCACGGTACAGTGTTCCTCCTCAGCGCACCGTAGCTTATGTATCTACGCCCTGCTAGAATGCGCCGGTTTGCCTCCGAGTCCATCTCGAACTCCGACCCGAACAGCCCGTCCTCTGAAAGCAGACACTCCCCGATGGATCCGCGACACTCCGATTTCATCGGGAAGAAGCCCATTTCGCTGTCGCCGATGAAGTCGACGGTGGTTGATGAAGAAAGAGACACGTGGACGGCAAAGATGGCGCACAGCACTAGGAAACCATAGAAGCTTACCGAGCTCCCCATTTTCGTCTCTAGCTCTTCAGTTCGGCAACAGTAGAATGGAGATTGGGGTCTTCCAGGCTATAAGAGACCGTTGATGAAGATCTGCCGCTATCTTTCAGATTAATTACGATATGTGCTGCCGTCTTTGAGAGCAAATTACACCTAAGGACCAAGATTTTAGACCATTTAAATTAGAACAATCATTTGCTCTCAGATTTTGCAAGAGCTTTAATCTTAAAAGATCTATTATATGATTTGCATAAAAATTCTTTATTTTATTTTATAAAATAGATTATTGATTTTAAATTTTCAGAATTTATTCTTGTAACAAATTGGGTACTCGTTATGATTATCTCTTTTTTTAACTTCAGGCTTGTTTTGCTTGTGATTTAAAAATGTTACTATCTTTTACAAACAGTACTCACTAAATAATAATGTTTGAGTTGATTTGGGAGATTAAATCTTGTCAATGTTTATAAAATTTAGATATTTTGTCGCGATAATTGATTTAATATTTTTTAGATAAAATCATAGATAAATTATTGAAAAAAATTATAAGTTTTGCTAATTTGTTTCGTAATTTAAATCAACAGCAACAATTTTAAGGAAAAATATTAAATAAAACGCGAGGGCTACCAAGGCATCAGCATCGGTGTCACCACTAAGGCATTAAGCCAGTTGGAAGCCAGCCAATGAGTGACAATGATTATTTTGGTGGCCTATTTTTTAGTCTACATTAACCGCGTAGCATTAATTTTATTAACAATTAAAATAAGATCTTTCATAAAGATAAATGTAATTCAATAATTATAACAATTTTTTCACTACAAATGAATTAGTGCAGCATTTTGGGATAGTTATTGCATAGTTGTTTCAAGACAAAAAAAAATAATTTAAGTATCTCACAAAAAATAAGATACCAATAAACCTTATTTTTTTAATTTGTTTGATCTGCTAAAAGAGTTTTCTTAGCGGCTTCTTTGGAGAAGATTTGCTTCTTTTTTAGGTTTCATGAATTGAAGAACGGTTGCATTTTAAAGAGACAAAGCATATTTCCATTATATTTGTTTGTCCAGTTCCAATGCTTTGCCTAACCATTCACAAAAAAAAAAAAAAGTAAAAGGAGGTCAGGCAAAATTCTTTTAATAATCAATATTTTTAATTATTCTTTTTTTTTTTGCTTTTTTAAGGGAATCTGTAATTGATAGTTTTTCCCACTATCTTTTTGTTATTCCTGGGATTGGAACATGTCATTATATGGTATTGACTGTTCAGTTCATAATAAACAATTCGGTACCTTGCCGTTCTGATAGAAAGAAAAAAGTTAGGAAATCAATTCAAAGAAAAATAGGCACTGTTGAGTTATGCTTTCCCTGTCTCTCTTTACTTATTTTTATAGAAATAGCACGTAAATTAATGTAAGATTATTTTCTTCTTTTTTCAATTTTGCTCTCCATTTAATGTCATTCATCTAACAAAGTATTAGTAAGAGCAATTAATAGTTATACCTTGAAATTGTAAACAGGGATAAAAAAATATATATTGAAGTATGGTCTGGCATGGTTGAAAGTAAATTTCCAACATGATTTTTTTTATGACTATTTATAAAGTTTGGAGTCTCAATGTTATTTGGGAAAAATAAACCCCCCCCCCCCCACTTAAACCTGAATCAGTTTGATAAAATGAAAAATTAAATTGACTATGTAAGTCTGAAGAGGGAAGGAAATGTGAAGGCAATGCCTATGCATGAATGATTTGGTTGTTAACTTGACAGAAGAGAGCAGAAGAAAGAGGGATTTGAATGTGTGAAGCTGGAATTTTGAATTCCATGGCTTCAATGGCTCTGAAAACGACACCTGCGATGTGGATCTTTTTCCGTTAATTCTTCAAATTAAGGGGGAAAAAACATTGATGATTGTGCGCTTGGAGACAGCTTGAATTACTAATTTTATATGTATGTGGAACAGGTAATTTAAATCAAACTTGATAAGTTAGTCTAAACTTATTTAAAAAAAATTAAGATCTGATTTGATTATATAACTTTGTGAAAATGGAGGATATTTTAAGTCTGACTTAAATTAAATTCGATCTAAATCAATCTGACTCACCCAAATTATCAGCTTTACTTAAATCAAATGCCAAGAATTTACTCGCTCTTGTAAAAAATATAAACATTTGTTAATTAATCTTGATTTAACATATAAGTAATTCAATATATGTAAAAGATTTTTTTTTCATTTTATTACTTATATTTATTATTCTAGACATTTATATAAATATATTTCTTATTGATTATCTAGTATATTGGTAATTAGAATTAGGAGTAGAAAGGGAGAATAATATATATTTTGATGGAATGAGGATTTTATTGGTATTCAAATTTTCCCTAAAAGCTCCTCATATCAACTGTTTTTTTTTTTTAATTTAATGCACCTCCTTTTATCCAAAAAAATGTGGCATCCTTAAAACTCTTGCTCCGTTAAGTTTTATTTATGAAGCGTGTCTCAAAAAATGCTGCATTGTATTTTTATTCTCGTTCCTTTTCAATCCGGCAATTAAGCAAGTTGAGAGGTGTAAGTCTCTGGACTCTTCTGAAGGTTCCTTTTGGTACAATATTTATCCTTCAAACTTGCTCATACCAACGAAACCTTGGGATTGAATTAAATATAAATGAATGTGGTGAGAATAAAGGCACCTAATTAATTTTGCAGCCAAGTCATGAGCTTGCATCCAAGGAATCAAATCAATGCTATATAACCTTAGCCCTGAGCATTATAATTAACCACAATGGGATCCTTCATCAACATCCAAATTCACCAGCTTCAGTTATGTGTCATGGGACTTATCACTAGAGAGGTGATTTTTCATCTTGAATACAGATAGAATTGTTAAAAATGGAATCAAGCACAATTAGATACTTTCTTCGGTCTCTATCATAGAGTGCTTTATAGAAAAATTTTCTGATCATTAATAGAAGGAACTTGAAAGGGTATTATTTACATTTTTTTTAATCTTATCACTATATAAATTCATTAACTATGAGAGGTAATGTAACATAATTTTCATTTAAATAGAAGTAAAATTAAAAATTTATTGTATTTTAAGATAAAATTAATGAGTTAATAATACTTTTTGATTTCAAGGAGATAGTTATATATGCTTTATAATAGAGACAACAGAGAGTACTCATTAATTTAAAAAAATTAATTACAAATATCAATTTACAAAGTTACAAACAAGAATCTCATTTATAATGTAAGAGTTACATTTACATTTTAGATATCTTATTTCAAATTGAAATTCTTCAATTTATAATTATATATTTTCAATTCATTTTTTAAAAAATTATTAAGTTCTTAATTATCATTAATTTTATATTTTAAAATTTAGTTGTCATTCACATGGAGACAAACGCCTACAGGGGCATGTATTATGTAGGCAGGCTTTATTGGACTAAATCTATGTTTCTCCTACTTCAAAAAAATTGCCACCACTGGAAGGATATCCATCAACAATTTGAAAAAAAAATATATTGACAAGAAGGGAAATTCCAGTAATTTTAGGGAAAATATGGGGCAGAGGGCATTTTTGACTTTTTTTTTTGCAAAAAATATTCCACAAGCATTTTGGTTTGAACATTTTTTGAAAAAATAAACAAGGTCTATTAAAATAATTTTAGGATTTGGATGTCAATCAACAATTAAAACTTCATAAACACAATCACTGACTGTAATTCTCCCATAATTGCTAGCATTGTGCTTTCATTAAGACCATTCTTCAGCATCCTTGGGAAGTTGAAATTAATGTCACCCGAAGTCTTGGATAGATTCACTTATATGTGCATGTATCATAGCTCGAAATAGCCATGGAGTTAGTGGCGTGTTTCCTTTCATAATTTTGTTATTGATATTCCCAGTAATTATTATGTATTTTTGCATGAAGATAGGCTGATGGTTGCCTAGTTGCTCTTGCTTTTATAAACTTTCAAGCCTCATGCTTGCTTTCCTTATTCCAAAAAACAAAAAAACAAAAACAAAGAAAGAAAAGACCATTCTTCATGTAGATGGAAGGTAAACCAAATGGGGTTTCCGTTGCTTCGCTGAGGAGGTACATGATCTGGACCATCCATGCTTGACTTGGATGGTGCAAATTTAATGCACTTTTTTATTTTATTTTTTTCAAAATAAAAAATTTGTATAAATTGTAAATTTTTTTTTTTAAGAAATCTATTCACTAGTCTGAACATTTTAGATTTAATGTGAATGATTTACATTTAATGTCAAAGTTTTTATAAATTGATTGTCTACATATATTCTAAACATTACAAGTTATTCTAGACAATATAGGTTTAATGTTAATTTTTTTATAAAATTTTAATATTAAATTTAAATTATTCATATTAAATATGGACTGTCCATATTGGAAAACAAATTTATTAAAAAATTTTACAATACAAATTTTTACTTTAAAAATAAAAAATAAAATGTACATTAAATTTGAACTATCTAGATTAAATCAGCAAAGTGTGGAGGAGGCTTTCCTTTTTAACCAAATCCCATCAACTCCTTAAGATTTCTTTTCTACTGGATAATTAATAATCTGAATTAATTTTTTTTAGAATGAAGGTGAACGAAATTTCTGACTTTTTACTGCTCATTTATTTTACATGGAACTTAAAATTATTAGGTTTTTTTTTCAATGTTTTAAACTTTTTATCATTGAACCACGTGTATCTCTCTAGAATATTTCCATCTTTTATATATTAAAATTAAAAATTTCACCTCCATTTCCAAATTTTGATTCATTTATATACATCAAAATATTTAAATGTAAGTGTAACATCCCAATTTAAATTTTAATAGTTAATTTTTGATAAATAGAAATTTAAAAAAAAATATTTAGAGGTAAGTAAATTAGTAGGAGATGATTATTAAATCTAACTTAGAATATAATTCTAAATTTAAAAAAAAATAAATAAAAAATAAAATAATAATAATAATAATAATAATAAAATATTATTATTAAAATATTATTATTATTATAATAATAAAAAAAAGTATGAGAAAGAAGGAAAGAAAGAAGAGAACAAGATGCTTTCGGTGCTCTTTTCCCCCCGCAATGATTATATTTATATTATAATAATAAAAAAAGGAGAGAGGAGAGAAAAAATAATAAAAAAAAGATGTGGGACCCACTGAATTTTTATAAAACTCACCCGTTTCCTTTCGTTTCTTCATTCCTTCTTTCGTGCGTGAGCTTCGGCAGAGAGAGCATCTGTGAGCCAAGTTCACCGGTGCTGGGTTTTAAGGTAAGAGTTTTTAATAGGATATTTAGGGTGTGATTTTAAGCTCTTCAAGACTAAGTGTTCTAAAATTTTTTCTTAGTCATCCTTTTTCTTTGGTTTCTGAGTTTGTAGTGGTAGAAAATTTAAGATCTGGAAGAGGGATGAATTTATGTTGAATAAATATGATTTTTGAGGTTGTCAGTAGTATAATAAATGTTCTAGAGTATAAATTTATTGATGATCTTTGAATCTGTGGCTTATGGATCAAATTCTAAACTAGATCTGAAAATATATGTTGATTTATTGAGGTTTAGATGATTATTTGGGATGAGAAATGAATTATTATGGTTATAGGATTATGATTCTAAGCTAGAGACTTAATTTTTAATTTTTGGGTATTTTAGGTACGAATTTATAAAATAAAAAGAAAATTTTGATAATAGAAATTAATTTAGAAGTTGATTTTTAGATTATTAATGTTTATTGATAATTAAAAGAGGAGTTAAAAATTTTACTTAATAGTATTAACTATAGATTTGTATTAAGATTGAAATTAGAAATTATATTATATTTTTAATTCTATTATTAGAATTATTTTATTAGTTTCAAAAATTGAAACTAATATTTATAAATAATATGTTATTTTGTAGATTGTATTACTGATGAAGATTGTGGTGAGAGAGAAATTTTAAGGAATAATTTATTGAAAAAGCCACAAGGTAACCATGCTTTTAATTTGTGATTAGTGTTACTTCATGTTAATTGGGTGATTATTGAGAAAATTATGAATTTTGTAATATTGTATAATTGTGCAATATTATTATGAATTTGTTTAATTATTGTGGGAGGTGTTGGGAGACTTGCTATTATTATTGTATTTATGTGCCACGTGGTACGCCCCTATTGGAGCTCAATAGGTGGCTTGTAAGGGCTCGAGCTAATCTACCTTTGGCCGGGTAATTTAGCACCGAGTGAGGGCTACGGCTCGAGGTTAATGGAGGGATATAAGGATGGTTGTTTGTGTGTATTGTAATATTTCTTATATTTGTTGAAATTATATTATTTTTAATTTTCACTTAATAAGTACACACTTAACTGTTTGTATACACTATCATAAATTGGCTTTGGTTACTGGGACTTTTGAGTCTCATTATGTGGTTAATAATTTTCAGGAGAAGAGCCACGAGTGACACGTGGAGGAGTCCCAGAGGCTTAGTGGTATAGATCCACTGTCTCTTTTGGGTATTTAATTTATGATTTATAATGTGTTATATTGCCAATATTAGGACTTTTTTTTATTGTCAATTATATGAATATATAAATGTAATCATGCCTTTCAAACTATTTCTATTTTTGGTACAATTTGGATGACTGTAATTTTAATATTTGGTTTACTTTGGATTGGTTAAAATGGGATGATTATAAGGCCAAATAACTGGCTTGTGTTGAAAATTTATTAAATTGCTTATTTTACTTGTTGGGAGTATAAGTATGGACAAATGTGATTTAGTTTACTTGTTGGGAGTATAAGGATGGACAAATATGATTTAGCCTAATGGCATGTGGGAGGTAAAAATTTATCTGAAATGTTATAGTGTGTGAGTTGAAGCCAATTATAAAATATTTTATATTGAAATTATTGATATAAAAATGTATTGGGTGGCTGTAACCCAACTATGATTAAATTAAATTATAAAAAAAAAATTTGGTGTGTTACAGTAAGGTTCCCCTTTGTTTACAGCTGATACTCTGATAGTTTCTTCCAAAAAGAAAATTGCAATAGATTGTCAATTCTTTTTTTTTAAGGTACAATACTTTTGGGCTCAATAACGGGTACGGTTGCCAAGGTCCAGCCAGACAACTAGTATGAATTATTTGGTCTTCGTAAACTTGGGCCTAAGCCGGGCCCATCCTGAACTAAACTAGGTTTTCCTCTTTTATAATGAGTCGCCTTCTTCTCTCGCCTCCACTAGTTCCTCTGACTTTCGAGTTCGTCGCTTCCTGCGGTACGCTCTCTCTCTTCCCCCACTTATTTCATCTTTTCGTTGTTGCGTTTGCTTGTTCTTATATTTATCGTATTTTGATTTTAGAAGTAGCTTTATTGCCGGAATTTCTTATCTTGTTCCGGGGATTCTCCATTTGGGGAATCTATCTGTGACATTGGTCAAACTAGGAAGTACCACGTTTTTTCTTACTTGTACTTTATTGGTGGTGGATGATTTTTCCCCTTAAATATTGTTGCTTTATGATATCTATAGCGGAATATGTGAATAACCAGTATAAGTAAATCTGTTGTATCGTGTTCGAGTCCTCATTGAGTCGTAAAGTGTGTCTATTTTGGACCTCCTGTAATTCCTTTTAATGCTTTAAGTTTGGGTTGATTTTCTGGAGGTCTCAATTATGAACAAATTGTCAAACGCGGTCTCTTAATTGGCTGGAATTTTGCTTTGTCAATGCTTGGGTTCTTACTTGCAGAATACATAGTCAATATATTTTCTTCTGAATGTGGTTCAGTTCTCTAGACTTTCAACAGACGAGGTAATACAGTCTCATAAAAGATGCAGAACGAGGAGGGACAGATCACCGAGCTTTACATTCCAAGAAAATGGTATGCATCTAAATTTGCTCAAGTTTTTGGTCTTTCGTGGGTTCACTGTTCTTGTTGGAGTTCGAACTAATGTATACTGCATGATGCAGCTCCGCAACAAACAGACTGATCACTGCTAAGGATCATGCCTCTGTTCAGATTAACATTGGCCATTTGGATGAAAACGGTATCTATAGTGGCCACTTTTCTACATTTGCCCTATGTGGTTTCATCCGTGCACAGGTCCGCTTGCCTTATTTGATCACATATTTATTTATCTGTTTTTGTAGTGAAGTGTTCTATTCTATTACCATATTTTTGTGTCTGTCCTTTGCTAAAAGTAATGTTTTTCAAGAAATGGACTGTATTTTGAATTAAAGACGTGGTGCTATCTGTACGGCATTCCACCTTTGTATTAAATTTCTGCTGCCTGTATATGAATATAGTGGTATGTTGCTTTTGTTGCTGAAATCTTTTGTGTAGCCAAATGATCTATCAAAGAACTTTTTAGGGTTCATTTCTGATTTTCTGTCTACTTGCCCGCTTCTTGTTTTAGATCTACCGAGGGAAAGATTGTGGTATAAAAACTAGAATATAAATGATAAAATCATTACCGAAGCTTGACATAATGCCTCTTCACTTATGGAGTTGTTTTAGGTTGGGTAGGAAGGTTATGATATCTCTCTAAGTATATCCTAATGTTCTACCTTGGCAATGTTACTCAAGGAATGCTATGCAGTAGATATTCTTGTTTAACATGATACTATGATATGGTTCTGATATTGAATGGGCAAGCAGAAGGTGTTTCATGCTTTTAACTTAAAATCTTAATTTGCATTTCCAGGGAGATGCTGACAGTGCATTAGATCGATTGTGGCAGAAGAAGAAAGCCGAAGTGAAGCAACAGTAGAAGAGGAAGCTAGGATTATCAGTTATAAAAACTGAAGAACTAAAGTTGAGAGTTGATATGTTTTTTAGCTATGAATGTGCTGGCACTTGTTTTATTCCTGCGCTACCTTCTAAGAAAAGTTGCCTTTTGACTTGTTAATTCTTGACGGATTTTTGGGCGCTTCTCTAATTTTTCATCTTCCCTAGTGTGGTCTTGTTTATGGTTGTACGGAAAAATACAATATTTTTCGACTCACGAAACAAAGCAAGCTTAACCATTTAGTTGGTTTAGCAGAAATAGCTAGTTTTTTTTTTTGGTCTGTGGGAAAGAGGGCAAAGGCTAGGTGGGTATATTAAAGTTAGTCAAAAAGGGTAGTCAAAAAGGGGATTGAGATCCCAATACATCAGAAGAAACAAAACTCCTAACAAAGCAAGGGGCAACAGCAAATAAAGAAGAATATGAGATCCCCTCCTTAGCTAACTTATCAGCTACAAGATTTATATACTGAAACATAATTTCCCAATCCCACTGAATCATGTTAAGGATCTCTAGCAAAACCATGCCACCCATATTGGTGACCCCCCTGTACATTGTATTTGATCTAAGAGGTTTCTGCCATCAGATTCCAGTATCACCATCCTAAAGCCAAAATCCCAAACTATACATTGGCTTCTGTGCTTCATTGGCACTGCAAGAACCTAGATGATGACAAAGTCCAGCAATCCAATGCCCAGTGTGATCTCTTAGAACACCACTGTATCCATTTTGACCATTACTGATGGCTATGGCTCCATCCACATTGAATTTGACCCAGTCACTAGGAGATGTTAAGTGGGTACTTATGTTAGAATGATTGAACTCATTTAGAATGTCCCGGGTAATAAAGTTCTTCTAACTTAACATAATCACAGTCCAAGGATCATCAGGTTTTTGGAAATTGCAATAAAACATATAACTATTATGCCATTTTCATAATTTCCAAACTACGATGCCCCATAAAAGTCCCAATTCCTTAGTAAATCTAGCACCAAAATTTTGATTGAGATTGGCCTCAATTCAGTCCTTTAGAGAAGTAGAGAAAAAAGATAGAATGGTACGTCTACTTGACAAGTCTCCTCCAAATTTGTTGAGCATAAGAACAATCATGTGTAATGTGGAGAATGTTTTCCACTTTAGTATTGCACCAATTACAACACGAGCTTTTCCAGGCATTTGTAGGTAGATGAGCATGAAAAATTTGCCATAAAAAGAAACAGATTCGCTCTGCACGTTGCCACTTCCAAATACTTTTGAATGTTGAGTTATAAGTAGTGGATGGATTCTTTTCAATTAGGCAGTGGGTGCTCTTGACAGTGCAGAAGCCATTTTTATTTCCACCCCATATCATAATGCCATTCCCAATAGATTCCATGGGGGCAAAATGGCAATCAATTTTTGCTTCACCTCCACTGAGACAGTTGTAGCAAGCCAAATATAATTCCAGACACCATATCCAGTCCAATCTACAACCTTGCTTTCCAACTCCCCTATGTCAATGGTCTCAAGCAAACATCTTTGATTTTTTTTTTCTTATCAGGGAACAGCCAGAAATCATTAAAGAAATGTACAAATTTACCATTGCATATTTGCCATCTTGTCACTTCGTCTAAAATGTCTTTTTGTTTATAAATAAATTTCCATAGTGCTGAATTACCACCTTTAGTAGCAAGGAGCTTAGCTTCATTTTTTAGCATATACTTTTTTGCAAAATACTCATACAGAGTTTCTTGTTTCCTATAACAAGATTCCAAGCCAACTTAGTTCCAAAAGCTTGATCAACTAAAGTTAAGCGCTTGAACCCCAATCCTCCATGTGCTTTAGGGAGGATTAAAGTATTCCAACTAAGCGGATGATAAGCATGCGATTGTTCTTTGCCCCAAATAAAATTTCTCTGTAGCTTCTCAATCTCATGACATATTTTGACCAGCACCTTTGCTATTTGCATCAAATATGTTGGAATAGAGCTTAACACAAACTTAGCTAGAGTGGCTCTTTCGACTGTTAAGAGACAATTCGCTTTCCACCCATCCAGCTTAGTTTTGACTCTATCCACAATATAGCTGAATTTATCCATCTTCTTTCTATTTCTTGTATGTGGGAATCCTAAACACACACCAATTTCAGAAGATACTTTCATCTCAGTAGCAACTCTAATCTTTCCTCTCAGGTTTGGTGCCACCTTTGGAGAGAGAAATAAAGATGATTTGTGCTTATTAACTTTAGCACCCAAAACCCAAGAGAAAGCATACGGAAGCTTGTTTCTTTGACACCTCACCAAATAAGAGTAGATTGTCGACAAACATAAGATAGGGCACCATCAATCTTTCTTTTGTTACAAAAATTGGTTTCCAGTTCCCTGCTTCCACTGCATCATTTATGATATGGGATAACCTATTCATACACAACACAAGCAAGAAGGGAGAGATGGAATCCCCTTTGCAGAGTCCTCTCTTAAGATTAAAGTAATGAGATTGTTTCCCATTCCATAAGTCATTATATGAGACAAAAGAAACACAATTCATAATAAGATTAATGAAATTGGAGTTCAAACCAGCCTCAATAACTACTTGGTGCAGAAAATCCCATTTGATGCCATCATAGGCCTTTTCCAAGTCGACCTTCGTTGCTAAAAGGCAATGTCTTCTTCCAACTTTATTCATGGTGTGCATCAGTTCTTTCCCTAGTGTAATAGTATCTTGTATCTGCCTCCCTGGTGTGAAGTTGGCTTGGAATGGTGAGATTAAATTATCCATGACTGCCTTCAACCTTTTAGTGATTATCTTGGTAATACACTTATAGTGCACCGTACACAAAGCAATCAGTCTAAAATGGGAGACAAATTCATTCTCTTTTAAGGATTAGTGAAATGAGGGTCTTGTTTGCTTCATTCACTAAGATGTTACCCTCCTTAAAAACCTTCTTGACAAAATTGCACAGTGAAGGGCCCACTCTTTCCCAGTTAGCTTGAAAAAAGATAGGAGAGAAACCATCGAAACCAGATGCTTTAAAGGACCCCGTAGGGAAGATTGCACTTTTAATTTCTTCACCTGAAGGTATTGCAGCAAGAGGCTCATTTAAATTTTGATCAATTTGGGGGAAAGATGATCTAGTCTGTAAGTGGGCCTGATCTTCACTTCCTCTTCCTCATCATACAAACTTTAGAAGAAGCTTGAAATCATTGCCTATAAATCTTGATCATTCTCTACCCAGTGTTCGGAATCATCTTTAAAAGCTATGATCCTATTTTGTCTCCTTATCATAGTAGTCTTCAAATGATAGTACCGAGTATTCGGATCACTCTTATTAATCCACTTTGTTCTAACCTTTTGAAACCATTTTAATTCTTCAAGCTTGAGAAGATCCCAAGCTCCCTTTAAAGGTCAACTTCAAGTTTTTTTTTTTTTTTTAAAGGAAGAATAGGGATAAGTTGAGCAGAAATAGCTAGTTGAACAAAAGTTGTTTGAGAATGTCAATTTGTCTGGCTTGGTCGGCCCTGCTCAAGCTGCAACAATGGAAGGATTCAAGTCCTCAAATCGGCTTAATGTTTTGTATCACAGTTTTCATCTCTCAACTTTCTGTGATGTTGATGCCTCTTAATGTTAGAGGAAATAATACTTGTAAATATAAAGTTTGACTTAGTCCGTTCTATGGTCAAACAAGTTAATATGATGTGACTCCATTAAAATTTTGGATTTGAATAATAGATTTGTATGCTATTTTTCCAAAAGTTATTGATGCTTTTGAGAAAAATAAGTTTTCTCTATTGATGCTTTTCTATAATACTTTTTAAGGAGAGGGAGAGAATTGATATGATTATAATGTTATGATTGGGTGTATAAACTTAAAGTTATATTAAATAAAGGATATTTTAAATAATTTATATTTTTTTAAAAAAAAGATTGTAAAGTGTTATTATTAGGTTTTATTGATATGTATAATATTGTTTTATTATTTTATAATTTGGGATGAAGGGAGGGAATAGTTCATAAAACTCCATGTGTCTGAAATTATAAAATATTTTTAAATAAAATTATACACATTAATAAAACTCATTAAATACATTTTATAATTTTATTTTTTGAAAATATAAATATAAATATTTAAAAATACCCTTCTTTTAATAGTCTATTTATAAAAGAATTTTGAAAAGAGAGAATATAATGAGAAAAATAATATTAAAAAAAATATCATAATAAAACTTTATTTTATCAAAGTGTCTTATACTTTAAAACAGTAAATTTTCTTTAAAAATATCTTATAATTTGAAATGAAATGCTATCACAAAGCCAACTATTTTGGTTTTCAAGGCATTCAAAGGCATGTTGAGCTTATTTAACTTCATCCCTGATAAAAAATAAATAAATGTTATTTGAATCCATGAAATCAAAAAAATAATAAAGGCCACATATAATTTAAGATATTCCATAGTGCAAGAATTTCATATTTATTTTATAAAAAAAAGTCCACAACCGAGCTCAGATGAAATGGCGCGACGCAAGCAAGGGTAAGCTGAATTAGAAGTCATTAAAGGCAGAGGTGTTGGTAGGGTGTTTGAAGGGTTGAAATTGGCATGGTAGGTGGCAACAATAACAATTAGGGAAAATGATAGAAACATTTATTTAAATTAAATTTCAAAAGTCAAATTTTAAAAATTTATAAGTTTAATTAATTTTATTGTGATAAATTTATAACTTGTATTTTAAATTTTAACAAAAAAAAATAAATTTATTTATTCTTTATCCATATTAAAATTTTAAAAATAAGTTATAAATTTATCATAATAAAATTATAAAATTAAGAATCGAACTTGTAAATTCTTAAATTTTGACATTTGAAACCTCATTTGAATTAATTGATCCTAGATTCATTTGTTATTTTCCCTAACAATTATTGTACGAACCATATCATTTAGCTGAATCAAACTACAAGGTACAATGGGACAATGTGACGTGTGAATCCAGTTCCGATGTCGGATGTTCTTGTCAACTTACAAGTTTTTTCCTTAATTTTCGTCCGCCCTTGAAGGAAATTGGGGGATAACAATGGTGAAGATGTCATTTTCCTCTATTTTTTTTCCCCCAATAACTTTCACTCTCTTCTATTTTCTTCTCATTCCAAACAAATCCTCAGAGGCAGTACGAGAGACTGGAATCTGGGTTAGTTGGGGCTGGGAAGGTGAGTATGACTCATGAGTGTAGTAGCTGAATGACTTTTTCTCTTTTTCTTTTCTTTTTTTTTAAATATACGTTAATTAACAT